TAGTTATGTTTTTAAGAGAAAAAAAACAACTACTATTGTTATAAATAACGCATTCAATTGAGCTAAACTATGCATGCCTATTTAAATATACTTACACATGGCTTGCGTATTTCGTGTATATACATATATATTATTCATACCTTTGGTGTATAGGACGCAAGCAGATTTTTACATAAAATTTTGTGGTAAAAAAGTGCATCTTATACACTGAAAAATATGGTAAGTGGGCAAGCTCAAAATTTGATACATATTTAGTTCAAGTGTTTTTCTTAAATTAATAGACCTGGAAATTCCTCAATTCTTGCTTTACTTTTGTGTATCCTCTACATTTTAGTTGTTTTGTTTGTCAATTTATTTTACTAATAGATTGTTTGGAATAAAAAATTAAGGGCTTTCAGAATAATTTGTACATGTAAAAGTACAAAATCAATGTCATAGTAGCTGATGCTTTATTCTTTTACTTTTCTGGTTTCTTATTGTTGAATCAACAGAAGTTGTAAATTATAAAATCCTTTTTAAGTCCATATTTTGGCATCCTAATTTTAATTTCAACAAATAGAAACTGTTTATCAAATGTATCAAATAATAAATCATAATTAGCATTACTATGATTTCTGGCTTGACAGTGTGCTGAAATATCATGATATGAAACTTTATAAATAGTTCACAAGTCTTGACAAATTTAGTATGATAGACTATATAACTGTATAATTTGATTCTGATTTTTGACAATTATTTATTATTATGATGGAACCAAAACTGAACAAAATACTTTAAATGAGACTTACCAAAGTTTCTTACAAAGTGAAGTACCTTCAGTGGTGTAAGTATGCCCTTACAATTGCAGGGGGACCTGAATGGCCTGACAGACTTAATAATTGCAGAAAAAGACAGAGAGACGTGCAATTTAATTTGTTGACCTAAAAGGCAGTTGTGCTATTCTGTTATTAAGTTAATGATATCAATCAGACAGAATTGTAACTACAATTATAGGGAAATAAATATAGGAGCTGTAATTACTTTTTTATGTGTGTGTGTGGGG